GTGTTTTTATTTGTTTTTTTTTGTTTGTCTACTATGATAAACTCATTATCAATTTTTCCGTTTAAACTGAGATTAATACAAATGAAGACGACGAAGGAGAAGAAGAACAACAGCACAAACAAGCACACGCTCGGCTGGCTAGCAGCTTAGCAAAGAACTTGAGAAAAAAAGCAACGAAATTATGAAAATCAAAACAAATTGCAAACACAGATACAACAGTTATACCTACCTACCTACGTTACGTATGTACGTTGCTCCTCATGTTTAGATGCATGCACGAAAAAAGAAAAAACACAAATCCTAGTGGCAAAGAAAAAGTGCAGTTGTGGAAAAATGAACAGAAAAACACAGAGCACAACAAAACGGGAAAAGGCAAAACATTTGCAAACACACACACGTGCAGACATACATATATATGTTTTGATGCACTCGAGGGGCGCAAGAGAATCTAGCGCACAGCCAGAAAAACGATGAACGAAACACATGCCGGCACTTGACTCATATTATAACGTAACAAAACACAACACAACAGTAACAACAACAACAATAGTAACGGCAAATGTGCAAAAAACATTTTAACGTAATCATCGTCATCAACAATGACAAACATCATCATCATCATCACCGTCGTCATCGTCATTGCCATTCATACAAAAAGGACAGACAACCGAACATACACCGACGGGGTAACCCCCATGTAACACACATACCCAACCTAACACACACACACACACACGCCGACTCTCCCCAAGCGAAAGAGAGTGTCACATTTCGCCAAGAACAAGAAGAAAGAACGAAAAGAAAAAACAACAAAACGCAACTCATTCATAGTTTTTTTCTTCGACAACTTTTTTACTACGGCAGTCACTCCAACCACCATCACCACGCCACCACACTATTCGCAAAAACACACTCACACAAAGACACAATCGCCAAAAAACGAAAAATAAACAGCAAACGACCAGGGATGTCAACTCGCTTTTTGGCAATTTTTAACGCTGAAAGTGTTATGAAAACAATATTTTTACAAAATAGTTTGAAACTCGGTGCAAATACTCCCGAGGCACAATTTCGAAATAAGAAACGGATTGTCCATTTCGCTGGCAAGTAACACCAGCGAAGTCCAAAGCTGGAATGCAGGTTAAATTGCAAAGTGAGATACAGAGTGCATGATATCACTTCGAGAAGGATTATAATAAAAAAATGCACAATAAACCTGAAATCGGATTAAGGATATATATATATATATATATATATATATATATATATATATATATATATATATATATATATATATATGGGAGCTATATCCAGTCCTTATACGATCTCTTTAAAATTTACCAATAGTATTTCCGATCTCTATAGGGACTTAAACACCAAAACGGATAAAACATACATATGGGAGCTATAGCTATATCTGAACCGATTTTCACCAAACATGATGTACTTGCTTCTAGACTGAACTAAGGTCATTTGGATTGATATTGGCTATTTGGTGCACAATTAACCGGAAATCCGTTGAATATATTTATAAAAGCTATATCCAAATCTGAACCGATCTTGAAACAATTTGGCAGTTTTATTTCTGGGCTGTAATTGATATCTGGTAGCAAATATCTTTCTTGTGGAGTGCATATTACGAATGTGAGGGACTTAAACACCAAATCGGATGAAACATATATATGGGAGCTATAGCTATATCTGAACCGATTTTCAACAAATTTGATGTACTTCCTTCTAGACTGAGTATGGTCCGATGTGCCAAAATTCAGGTCGTTTGGGTTCGGAAAGTGAGTCTATGGAGATCCTCAAAAGTAACTATGGGTCTATCTCGCTTCCTTCTCCATATTACAAACAAATGCACAAAGACATAATACCCTTACCACTATGTGGTGTAGGTTATACAAACATAAAATAAGGCAGGACGAACTTTTAATACCCTCTACCATTTTTCAAAAAACTATAAAGTGGATGAGGTCCTTATATGGGGACCATACCAAATCGGGTATCTATATAGACAATTTTAGACTTCAAGGTTTTTATCTACCAAATCTTCTTAAATACCAACTTGAAATAATTTCGTGGGTAAATTTTTCGAATGATGTCACTGAGTCTCAAACTGTTAATATTTTCACACTAGGAAGAATACAATGGAAGGTGGAGCCTCACATCCTTCCTTTTAGATGAGGAGAACCGCGGAAAAAAACAAGGACATTACGGAATTGTCAATTTGGTTTTAGTATCTCCCTGACCCACGCCTAAAAGGTGTTTAGTAGCTTTGTTGTCAAAGGCTTCGACAGGAATTACGGAACTATTGTATCTCTCCAGAAACTCCAGAGATTTTGACTCCGTTTTAGCCCATGAATATTCATATGAATTCCAGCCGAACCTGTAAAATGATAGCGACCATTCTTGTGGATTGCTTTTTCAGAAAAAAATTTGGGTGACCAACTCTCTATTCGCCGCCCAATGTTAGCTGCTTTTACTCAAGGTTCCCTCTTTGGTCCGATGTTATATAACAAATTTTCTTGTAATATTCCGGTTCCTCACATTGACGTTCAACTATGCCGATGATGTCCAATATAGGTAGCCTATCGAGAACCTCGAAAAATTGCATCGGTTTTTTGTTATATGGCTCCTTAAGTTGGAAAACGTTGAGCAATGACTTTTCTAGATCGATGGTTTTTTGTCTACCTTGATTTCAGCCAATTCTGAACTTAGGTAGAGAGGGAATACCTGTCACGGGTAATGTGTAATAGCTTAGGGTAGTATTTTTGGAATGGATCGACCATATTCGTCATATAGATTTCGTTTTGTCCAGGTCCAGAAGATTGTATTTGGGATGCAGTGGAATCTTGAGGATAAGGTTTAGTCTTTACCAAAATGTTAGGCTCTTAATTTAGCCGTAGGTGATCAGATCTATACTCGTCTATGAAAGAAAATATACTCTCCTCTTGTTTGATCCTCCGTTTCAAAGACTTCTTTTTAAACTCGCTCGAGAGCTGCCGCTCCACTTTTAACGAGTCTCACTCTTACTCGAATTCGAGCCAGATTTTCGGAAGTCTGCTGCAAACTTCACATGAAAGGTGACGTCGATACCAAGTTTTTTATACCCTCAGTCATATGGCTACAGAGGATATATACCATTTGATACGGCCAAAACGCGCCTTATCGAAATAACGGTTTTAGACCCTATGTCTTATTGGACCAAAACCGTTTCAGGACATTTGGAGTTTATCTAGGGGTGTTCGTCCGTCTGTTTGTCTGGCTGGTGCGCACGATAACTTTCGAAGGGAGTATTCGATGCAGTCCAAACTTGGTATATCGTAATATTATAATCAAACTCAGATCGAGTTCGAAGTTCAGTCCACTCCTTCTGGTGCCTCCCCCATAAAGGTCGAAATTTTCAAAGAAAATATTTTACTGCATAGAAAGTAAAAAAGGATCACCCTATTTTGCTCAACATGTGCAATACTCATGAAGCTCATAAAATGCGAAATCAACATCCGTTTCCATTCAGACTTTTCACATCCCACAAAGGGTCAAAGTTTTGAATAATCAAAAACTATTAAAAAATCCGAAATAAGCATCCGGTTATCTTCATATTTTACTCATCCCATTATTTCTAATAACACAAGATCTGCAATGAAGATGGGACATATCGGCCCACTCCTTCTGGTACCTCCCCCACAAAAGGTCAAAATTTTCAATATCCATGAAGCTCGTAAAACGCAAAATTAATATCAGATTCTATTCAGACTTGGTACATCTCAATATTTCCATCCACACAAGATCTGTTATAAAGATGGTAAAGATCGGACTATTTCGTCTTGTGCCTCCCCCACATAGGTCAGAGAATCTGTTGTGAAGATGATATATATCTGTTATCTTACCCACAAAGGGTCACCATTTTCAATACATTTTTCTGTCATAACTTTCGCTGAATGGAATGGGAACATTGAGATATTTCACGCTATCTGTAACACAACGACTCGCAGCGAGTGGTTGTTGATTTATCGTTAATATTCGACGCGTAAAAAGCTCAACGCGCTCGTTCTGTTTAGCCCTTAATATATTACCTAATCCACGATTAAATGTCTGGTCGGAATATTTGCATCGTTTTTCATAGTTCTATTCAGTGGCATCACTGTTTTCGGCAGAGACGATGCAAGAGAGCACAATTTCATATTTGTAACAAACCCCCGAAATAAAAAAGCGCTGCAAAAAAAAAAGACGTAACAACAAAAACATACAAACGCACACACACACACACATGTGCACATGCACGCCGCTTCCACGAAATGCAATAGCAAAATCAAAGTCAGTGCAAATCTGGAGGAAAGCAAACAAAAAACGTGGAATTAATAAACGGAAGTTGTGCATTTTATTAATCAAAGCTGTGACAACAACAACAATAACAATAAAAAAAATAATAACAATAAACACAACAAACGAGAAACTGCAAAGTGACGTTGCTTTTCGAATAAAAAAAATTAAAAAAAAAATAAAAATAAAAAATCAACGGCAATGCCAACACAAAAAAATGCAAAAATTTAATGAATGAATATTTAACTTCCCTACCTTCTACTATATACTGCATTGCAAAAACGTGAAAAAATACAACAAAATGTTGAAAAAAATTGAAAACAAAATAAAAATACAAAAATTTAACCGCATTCCGTGCATCGATTAAACAAAACGAGCCAAGCCGCGCCACCTCCAACAGCCACACGAATAACAGGTTTTCGAAAAAAAACAAAATCAAAACAAACCCAAATGTTTAAAGAAGTTATTGACCGTTATAATTTTGAAAACAGACAGAAAGTTTAATCCCCACTGAAAAATAAGAAATAAATAAAAAATGTGTCAAATAAATTTAATAAACAGCTGGATCTTTTTTTTTTTTTTTTTTTGAGAATAATTATCCCAGTTTTAAGTTAATTTTTTAATTTTTGATTTTTAATATATTGTTTTAAATCTTCTAATATTTATTTTTACAGCCCTTGAAATTGAAGTGAAAACCAAAAATAATTTTTATTGGAAAAGACCGTACCTAACATCAATCACAAGCGGAAAATCATTAAACAATCCATAGTTTAAAACAACTTTAAAAGAAGGAAAACAAATCAACATTTTTATGTGCAGGAAAACAAAAATATTCAAAAATTGAAAACAAGATATTCTCAAATCATTTGACATTGTGTGCAATCGGAATCAAAACAAATTTAATGGAAAAAAACATAAACAAATTAAAAATAAACTAAAACATCACCAAAATAAGCAACTATTTTATGGCCCCGTGTGAAGCAAAACACAAAAATAAATAGAGAAACTATTCAAATTAATTTTAAAACATAGCAGTGTTCCAAACAGATCAGAAAAATAATAAAATAAATACTGAAAAAAAGAAACACTAACAAAAACTTCAAAAATATTTTAAAGGTAAGTTTTTTGTTTGGAAATATTAGATTTAAAAACGTTTTGTAGCTAATTTTTAAAAATGTGAACTGACTGGATTTCTTTCCCGTCGTGAAAGATTTAAAAAGGGTGTTTTTTAAGCCCGATAGAACTTGAAATTGTAAAAAATAACACAAAAAAATATATTTTAATCAATTTTTTTTGTATTCGAAAGATCAATACGGGACATTAACATTTGAAAATGATTTCGGGCATATGGGCACCGCGGCTGTTCTTGACGAAGTGTATTTTGGACGTCCAATTTTTGGCCACTTTTTCGAGCACTGCTGGCCGTATGTCGCGAATAACACGAACAATGTTGGCCTCCAAGGCGTCAATTGTTGCTGGTTTATCAGCATAAACCAGTGACTTAACGTAGCCCAACAGGAAATAATCGAGAGGTGTCAAATCGCACGACCTTGGAGGCCAATTGACAGGTCTACTTCTCAAATCAACTTATCGCCAAATTTTGATTTCAATAAGTCGATGGTTGCGTTCGCCGTATGGCACATAGCGCCATCCTATTGAAACCACATCTCCTCCGGATCAATGTCATACATATTTTTAAACAAACGATCTCCAATGACCGTAACTCCGGCCTCTTTTTTGAAGAAATAAAGTCCGATAATGCCACCAGCGTGAAAAGCGCATCATACTCTGCATTTTTCTAGATGTAATGGAGTCTGTAGGGTCTCTTGTGGATTGGTCTTACTCCATATGCGGCAATTTTGCTTATTAACAAACCTGTTAAGCCAAAAATGCGCCTCATCGCTGAACAGAATTTTGCGATAAAACAACGAGTCAATTGCCAACTGCTCTAGAGCCTGATTTTCAAAGTAAATTTGGATAATTTCGTAGCGTTGTTCAAGCGTGAGTCTATTCATGATGATTTGTCAGAGTATACTGAAACAAATAAAAAAATCATCAAAATTTAAGTTTTTGTGTTACTTTTAACAATTTAAAGTTCTATCTAGCTTAAATAAACACCCTTTATTACGAGTGTATTCTCTGATTTAAGGCATCCTTAAGGGTATCAATTAATTGGCATCGTCTAATTTTAAACCCTATTTCTTTACAATTTGCTGTTGATACATACTTCCCAATTACTGGTTTCCCAAAGGCCAGGTGTAACTCCGTCTAAAACAAAGTTTGCCTTCTTTTCGAGGAAATGTGAATTCCCTGAATTTTTAACACCAGTGCTACGTGAAGTCACGTTAGATTTTTCCTCAGAAGCCCTATATTTCGGTACTGTTAACATCTAAACTGGAAGAGGAATATGCGATGCTCTCAGTAGATGTACAAGACCACTTGAATGAGACGTCAAGCAGCCCTGCAATGTTCTCCATTCAATATTAGAATAGATAAGAACAATTGTGTGGCTGCGACTAGGTTAAGTTAGATTAGTTTCAGTAGTACGTAAGGAACAAGTATTTTAAATAAAATCAGAATTGAAGCAATAGCCAAACCATTCGGTTGGTTTTCTTTTCTCATTACATTTGGTCCTTCGAGCCGGATTGAGAATTGAAACTACACCCAAACGAATAGAGTTGACAATCGAAGAGGGAGATTTGACTCTATTCTTATCATTAAAAACATAGATCCTCCGAGCAGGATCCAGAAAAGAATTGAAATAGCACACAAACGAAGCGGTCGTGTTTCTTTTCTCACTAAATATTGCTCCAGTCGAGCCGAAAACGGAATAGAGTTGACAATCGAAGAGGGAGATGGGACTCTATTCTTATCATTAAAAACATTGATCCTTCGAGCAGGATCCAAAATAGAAATGAATCTACAGCCAAAACATTCGGTTGGTTTTCTTTTCTCATTCACGTACAAAAGCATTTTGTGAGAATTTTTCAAAAAAAATAGTTATTCATGATTGAATTCAAGCGTGATAGTGAGATTTCTTTATATTTGGCTGGAAAACCACAAGTGGTTATCGTTAGAGCACTCCAACATTTAATGTGAATAAATATTTTGTGTCTCGTAATATCGCTCGTTACCGTGTTACTGGTAACGTAGCCCGACGTCAAGGAAGTGGACGGAAGAAAACAGCAACATCAGCAGAAATGGTTCGAAAAGTAAAGAAGCAACTTGATCGAAACCCGCGTCGCAGTGGCCGAAAAATGGCTCGAGAGCTGAACATATCGCAATATTCCATTCTGCAAATATTGAAAAATGAGCTCGGGGTAAAGCCATTGAAATTCCAAAAAGTGCAAGAACTTACACCGCAACAGAAAGAAAATATACTCAAAAGTGCTAAAGAGTCACTTCGATTGGCTGAAAGTGGTGAACTGCAGAATTTGGTTTTCTCCGATGAGAAAACATTCGTTGTCCAGCAGTTTATAAACAAACAAAATGATCGAGTTTACTTGCCAAAGAGGTCAGCTGAAAATGTGCACCTTCGGTTGGCCACCAGAACTCAAGCGCCTGCCATGGTGATGGTGTGGGCCGTCATAACAGCCGATGGTCGCTCTCCGCTCGTATTAATCGATCGTGGCATCATCATAAATGCCGAATATTATCAAGAAAATATTTTGGAGGGTGTATTAAAGCCTTGGGCACGCAAACATTTAGGCCGCAGGACTTGGACAGTCCAACAGGACTCAGCATCATCGTACTCAGCATGCGCCTCCCAAGAATGATTACAAAATGAGGTTTCTCGCTTCATTTCCAGAGCTCAATGACCACCAAAATCTCCCGATAGCAATCCGTTGGTCTGTTGTGTCTGGAGTATTTTAGAAAAAAATACCAAAGTGTCGATCACCTCAAGCAAGCGCTTCGCCGGGAATGGGCCAAAATACCGCAGAGCAACATTCGGCCAGCGTGTGACGGTTTCATTGGCCGTTTGAAGGTCATAATTCGTGGCAAAGGGCCCAATTCGAACAAATCTAAACGTATTCTAAAATATGATGCTATTTCCGACATTTTGTTATTTCATTCAATAAAATTGAAAAAGAAAACCTAAAAATTAAGGCGTTTGACTTTGTTTCAGTTTTTTTTTATCTCACCCTGTAGTCTTTTTTCGGTTCTTCTCAGTTATGTAGCTTCAGCTTCAAGAGAGTTCGGACCTCCAAAGATTGTCAAATATCATTAAAGTAGATCGTGTAGCGCTGTTACTTACGGGGGCCTGAAGCAATTTTAAAACCCCTAAAGCTTTAGTGAATTCGACTGAAATAACAGGCATATGCTATACCTTTTTAATAAAGTAGGTTACAGGTAGAAGAGGTACTTTAAAATTTATTTGATTATTTATGAGAAGGGCTGGTATTTTGTACTCAGCAAATTTGTTAATGCGGAAGAAGCAATTCAAGTGATTCTGGACTATATCGCAGTAAAAAATAGCATTATCAAATAATGGGTTGAGTAAGTACATTTTGGCATCAGTAATTACCCTATAGAAAACGTCGGTGGTAAATAGTTACTTACTACCGTTAACGTTATTTATAACAAGTAAGCAAAGGCTACAGTCGAGTGTGGCCGACCGTTGAATACCCTACAACACTATAATAAATGATACAGTTTATATAGACAAGATACTCGAAAGAATTCCACAAGATATTGTGACAAATAATAAAAGAAAACCATCAGGTTTCGTTCTCTAATTTTCGAATAATAGAAACTTGAACTAATGTGAGCAATCATTTCCATAGATGTTGCACGTAAATGGTCTTCCTAGATCTGGGACCAATATTTCCCAAAGACCTATAATCTCTCTGAAGTGGCAAAATATTAACATTTATTATTGGTTTTTGAGTGAAACGCATCTATATGAGATACAGACATTTGACAATATTCTTCAACGAAATAGTCAGAAGTGCGTCTTTCCTGTATTTATGAATTCTCCAAAAAGTCACTGGAATGGACATTTTCGTATTTTGTCTACAAAAGTTGGCAAACTACTTCACACATTGAATATTTTTGGATGGCCATCCAAAACTGCTTGGCCTTTTGCAATGCCCGTAACCCCCATTTAAAATGTGCGTGAGGTTCGGGCAATAATTACGACCTGCTGATAATTTTGCAGTTTTTTTGGTCCATTTCAACCCCTAAATATATGGCGATCATCTCCAAGAAGAGTAGGCTTCTATTCTGACCCTCATCTGATCCCCATGCAAAATTTCGTAAGGATCGGGCCATAAATGCGATCTGTATATGATATCCTGATATCCTAACTACTTAGTTTTGTTAGCTGTAGAAATATTACCAAATGTTTAATTCAAAATGAAAATATGCCAAAAATGTGACAAAATTGAAAAAATATGAGAAAATTTTACAAAATCAATATTTTCATCTTTAGAGAGATATTTTTATGCGATTTTTTTAGACGTTTTTTCTTTCCTACCAAGAGGCCATTCTGAATTAATGAGAACTGTCGAAATCAGTTCAGCCGTTCTCGACATATAAGAGATCTTTCAAGCATACCTTCTTTGATAGACATATATATCGCACGTATTTTGCTATATATATCCGTTTTGTTGGATGTTAACATCAATGTAAAGATCAGGAGTAACCTTGTCATGGCTTTGTGATTTCGCCGGGATTTAAAATATTCGCAGTTTAGTGAAAAATTTTGAATTTTTCAACACAAAAGATATGGTCTATTTTACCCGCTAAATATTATCCGATGATCACCCAATTTGGTAGGCTTCTTCCCAGCCCTAAACTCTAGCTACATGCGAAGTTC